GGGGAAGAGACAAGCGGGATCTGTCGACGATTTCCAGATATCTGAAGGAGCGTTCCATTATATCGTTTACTGACGGCTTTTGTAAGTCATTTTCCATGAATGTTCCAATCTTGTGTTTTAACCTAATTTTTACTGGTAATTAATAGAAATAATACACATTTTAATCAAGGATAATTACATGATATCAAATTCGCATACAGACCTATATTTTATTCTAAATGAAGGAAAGCACATTCTTTTAATTTGGTATATGTCTGTTGAATATATATATTTGTTTGAGTTGAAGTGTCCTGGCATCTTCTTTATTAATTTTTTCATTAACACATCTTTTACAGACCTGCGTCAGCAAATGTCCTCAACTCTCACGAAGATAGAAATCTCAACTCGACAATTGGACATGGGACATGCGATTTCAACCGATATAATTCGACTTTCACACCAACCTTAAACTTGCGCAACTAGTGGAGTGTAAAATTTGTATTATTCTACGCATATATCTTAATCCGCTTTTGTGCACATTCTGAATTGCGCTTATCATTAAAAGCAGAGCAACTGACTAAACGTGTTATGTCTCTGGTTAAACTGGATGTTTTCACAGAATGCCGAACAGGGGATGGGGATCGTTCGACTGTCTTCGGGGAAAACGGAAGAAAAGATCGGGTGGCGGCGAAGAGAGGAATGAATGAAAAAATGCTACAACAACAATAATAATAATAACAATAATATTTATTCAGCTTTAAGTGTTACAATTTAACAGTAATACTTGTCTAGGCTACTGCAGAAACTACTCTATTGTGCTTACATCAAAACATATAAATAAAGGATAAAATAAAGAATTAAATATCTCTTAAAGCTAAAAGTTAATAAATGTGCTGAGTGCTTATTCATTGTGTTGTTAACTGAATATACTGTGATATTGCCTTAAGTGATATATGATCTTGAGGGTTGAGGAGGATAAATAGTTTCTGATCTCTGCCTGCTAATTCATAATTTTGTCTCTCAGTATTTGGGAGGGAACTGAGCATGCTTTGTCCCTCTGTTTGGTACTTGCTGCAAGTGAGGAAGAAATGTTTCTCGTCCTCTATGTGTGCAGGTTCTTTCTTCCAGAGGGATTTTCATGTGCCTGCCTTTCTCTATCGCCATCTCATGGTCACTTATTCTCATTTTGGCAATGTATTTTTTGTCTGAGCTTGTGGCACTAATAAACTACGTAATAATATTAACATAGGTCTTCAGAAGAGTTCTTTGACAAAAGTTCTGGCGGCTCTCAAGACGGCGGGTAGCTTGAGATTTTATCTCGCCGTTGCTTAAACCTTTATGTACATGTACATGGCCTCTTTCCTGATGATAACGCATGATAAACTGTCCTGTGCAGGATTTTGTACCGGCCAGTTTAATGAATGATATTTTTGTTAAGTTTTTTAGTGAATTTTTCCAACATAAACATTTGATATATATCACACAAGGAATGTTTTGGTTGTTTTAATTAAAAAAAGTAAATGTAAAATAAATATTTATAATTTATAAAACAGACGCGTGGAAAGTGCAAACAGGTGTACCACAGTGTGGCGCAAAAGGGACTTTAAAAATACTGATTTAAATACTGTAATATCATTTTTCAGAAAACACAAGAAAAAAATTATCCGTCACCAAGACGTGCTCGTCCCTGGGTGGGCTTGGTGAATCTCGTGGGGAAGTATTCAAGTGGTCGGCCATATTTGACCCTCGGACTAGTTAGTCCTATATTCTGAATGGGGTCAATGTCTAGTCTAGAAAAAAGTGATGTATGAGCCTGTTTGGGTAGAACGAGGTGAAGTTATATCGTCGTATTTAGCCGTTCAAGATTAGACGGTAGAGCTAAAATGAGACGTGTCACAAGTCTGGATTTTAATTAATCATTTTATCCACGCTAACCAAAAGTGACCGTCCCTGGGTGGGCTTGAACCGCTAACCGATTGCGCCACAGAGACCTATATACCTCACCTGAAGACATTATTTTTCACCTGGCGGCTCTCATGACGGCAGGTAGATTGAGATATTATCTCACCTCTGCTAAGCCTTTATGTATAAGGCCTCTGTCCTGACGATAAACTGTCCTGTACAGGATTTTCTGCCGGCCAGTTTCATGAATTATAGTTTTTGTAAAGTTCTTTAGTGAATTTTTTCCAACACAAACATTTGGTCAATATCACACAAGGAATGTTTTGGTTGTTTTAATAAAAATTAATTGTAAAATAAATATTTTTAATTTATAAAAAAGACCCTCGGAAAGTGCAAACAGGTATACTAAAGTTTGGCACAATAAAGACTTTTAAAAAGTACTGATTTAAAAACTGTAATGTCATGTTTTAGAAACCACAAGAAAAAATTTACCCGTCACCAAAACGTCATCGTCCCTGGGTTGGCTTGAACCACCAACCTTTTGGTTAACAGCCGAACGCGATAACCTCCGCTAACCTAACGCCACAGAGACGTTGATGGGCAACAGGGCAACAGGTTGATTTTTTACAAATATTCACAGAGATGTCTCTAGATAAATACACAATCATTTTGGCTGTAGAGGATATTGATGTTGTAAGAATGGCAGTCTCAAGTTCCGTGGAAATACGACTAGGGAAGGTGTTGAAGATATTTAATGGGGGGGGGGGGGTCCTTAGATAACCTTTTCCCCCAAAACTGTGTCAAAACCACCTACAAAGATGCTTATACATCTTAAAAACAAACTACAAAAAACCAAATTAGGCTATCTCTATTATCAGAGCTGCTACTTGGATTTTAGTATTTTGGAGAAAATCGTTAAAAATACTTAAACTCTGTATTTTGTAAGAAATGATGGTTTTTCATATATCAATGTTTATGCTTACATTTTAACACAAATTTCATTGTGACTAACAATTCTGACATACAGACGGACTAAATACACATGAAAACTAAACTGAATGCTCTAACACCTAGATAATGATTCATATTAAGTTCAAAATACAGGAATTCAATAAGAATTCGATTCACTAAGAATTCAATGCTTTTAGGAAGCTTACAGGTATCATACCACTACCAAAATCCAACCTAGTTATCAGTCTAAACGACCTTAGACCTGTGGCCCTGACTCCGGTGCTATGAAAATTTTGGAAAAATTAGTCTTAAATTCTATTAAAGAAATTGTGCCGAAAACTTTGGACCCACTGCAGTTCGCTTATCGATCTAACAGGAATGTTGAAGATGAGATTAATCTGTGCCTACACACTGTACTACAACACTTAGATAACAAAAACTTTTATGCAAGGATTTTATTTATTGACTACAGTTCAGCTTTTAACACAAATGTGCAAAAAAAAAACTATATTTGAAACTTCTAAACCATCTTGAGCTACCTGTTCTTAATTGTGACTGGATTTTAGACTTTCTTTTAGATAGAAGACAATGTGTTAAAGTCGGCTCCTTTAGCTCAAAAATAACGGTCTTAAATACCGGTGCACCACAGGGATGCGTCCTTTCACCTTGTCTTTACTCTCTTTTTACCTATGATTGTATAAGTGTAAGCGACAGGACTTTTCTTATGAAATTTTCGGATGATATATACTACGCTTGTGTTGAGTCGCTGGTGAGGTGGTGCGAGAGTAATGATCTTATTTTGAATGTAGCTAAAACCAAAAAAAATGATAGTGGATTTTAGAAGGAATCAGAATGTAATTGCACCATTCACCATTGGTAATGTCGAAGTTAGCAGGGTAGAGGAATTTAAACTACTTGGTAAACACCTTAATAGTAAATTGAATTGGAAAGATAACACTGCGAAGAATGTAAAGAAGGCACGACAAAGACTGTATATTTTTAAGATCATTGAAAACTTTTACTGTTTTAGTTTAAGGTATAATAACTCTTCGTTTTGGCCAAAAAAANAATAAAAACATTGTGAACAACTCATAGAAATATAATTTATTCTGTTTAACCACAAAAACAGCAGTTATAGCTATAATTCTGATATCTGAGCTTGTCTTCAGATCACTTGACTTCCATTGACGGCTGTACTCTGTTATAATCTCTTAAGAGATTTTAACAAAAACAAATTTTTAGGAAAAAAAAAAAACGGGGACTAACGTTGAATGTAAAAATGGATTCATTAACCCTTGGTACATGTAAGTATGGGAAAATTGTTGTTTACTCCAGGAAAATTCATTTTTTTGGCCAAAACGAAGAGTTATTATTCCTTTAAGTGAAAAATAATAAATAGCCACCAAATTATCACATCCCGGGCGGAGACCCACGTCAACTGATGTCCAAGTTAAAGTATGTACCTTTTGCAGCTAACTCCATCCTTCATCACTTATTTCCTAAATTGTCCCTCCCACTAAGGTTTGCTTCCTTCGAGCCTGTCTTCATTATGATATGCAATTTCGTGTCTGGATGTCGTTATAGAAATGAATTTCCGTCGTTATGGTAAAAATAAACAATAGGAACTGATTTTATAGATCCTTTTCTCCCATAACTTTGTTGTAGAACATAGACTCAAAAACTTCCCATACTGTGAAAACATCCAGTTTAACCAAAGACATAACACGTTTAGTCAGTTGCTCTGCTTTTCATGATAAGCGCAATTCAGAATGTGCACAAAAGCGGATTAAGATATATGCGTAAAATAATACAAGTTTTACACTCCACTAGTTGCGCAAGTTTAAGGTTGGTGTGAAAGTCGAATTATATCGGTTGAAATCGCATGTCCCATGTCCAATTGTCGAGTTGAGATTTCGATCTTCGTGAGAGTTGAGGACATTTGCTGACGCAGGTCTGTAAAAGATGTGTTGATGAAAAATTTAATAAAGAAGATGCCAGGACACTTCAACTCAAACAAATATATATTCAACAGACATATACCAAATTAAAAGAATGTGCTTTCCCTGCATTTAGAATGAAATATAGGTCTGTATGCAAATTTGAAATCATGTAATTATCCTTGATTAAAATGTGTATTATTTGTAATAATTACCAGTAAAAATTAGATTAAAACACAAGATTGGAACATTCATGGAAAATGACTTACAAAAGCCGTCAGTAAACGATATAATGGAACGGTCCTTCAGATATCTGGAAATCGTCGACAGATCCCGCTTGTCTCTTCCCCGTGTTATCATCTTGCACGCAGCCCTTGGTACAGCGTGACGTCATATCCGCAGTGTGGCAGACGACCACTTTGCAGTGGAGATAAATCTCAGGTAAAGCTTTCAAGAACTGGAAGGCCCGGATGCTCAACCGGATCTCCTTCGGATCCGGACTCGGGAGGAACTTGACTGCCGATGTAACTGAACATCTGAAGGGAAGGAACGGCAAGTTATTTTACTACCGGTATATGACGCTCATTTGATTATAATATGAAGATGACTTCTGATTGGGAAAGGATCAGTTGACTAGTTCTTAAGACACAAAAAGATGGCCCATTATCAAATCTAATAATAATGAAACAAACACACACACACACACAAAAGTGACCTTACTCGTTAAAACATCCCAAATTGCGGTTATGAGCGAGTCATTTTTGTACGGAACTTAAGATACTGTATGTAGGACCATGAAAACACGAAGAAAAACTATCAAAACTCTGATATTCGTTTATGCATTTTTGCATTGATCTGTATGAATGTACAGTTTAAATACTTTTTTCATTACATTGTGTGTCCCATGTGTAACACAGGCATTTACCCGTTAATGATGAAGTTGAACTGGAGGAAGTCGAAGGGGCTGGAACAGGGTGTAGCCTTGCACGTGTCCGCGAACAGTTTCACATCCGGGGACGTCGTGTTCACGCTCAGCACGAAATACATCTGGTCACGAATCTTCACGGACACAGGATAGTCCTTTTCGGAGTATGGAGTCGAAAAATTATCGGTTTGGAACTGTTGGATGTTGAACGTCAAGTTCCCTCGACCTTTTTCCTTGAATCTCAATTTCTCTACAACTGGCTTGAAGCTTCCGGTGATCCAGTGGTCCCTTGCATACTTGCACTCAAATGGAATCTCGATCGTGCCGGCCCAAGTGACGACACCACTCATTAGAGAGAGGTAGTTTGGCCTAGTAGACATGATGTTGGAATACACGACCGAGGAGTTGGTGAAATTCATGATCGTGCCACAGCCGTGTAGGGGCGCCCTGAACGTGATGAAGGTATGGTTGCCTGTGCCTTGGCAAGAAGGGTCCGTCAACTGGAGTTGGCTCTCGTTAAGACCATGGAATGCCGAACGAAGCAGGTCTAACTGCATGTGTTGGTCGGTGCAGGTTACGTTGACATCGGGAGCTGACGTAGCATAAATGTAGATGTTTAAATTTAATGACATAAAATGGTACGCCCAGTTAGACAAACATTTTACCATTGTCTTTGTAATTAGTATCTACCTGTATATCATATTCCAAATATCTCCTATTATTTCTATATATATTCAATATATATTCAAAGTACCGTACTTGGCGATGTTAAACAAATTTAAAAAAGAAATACTGCAGGCGTTCACTGACATTCACATGTTTTTCCATCTTGCCTCAACACCAGATCGTTCACTGGACACTGACAGTGGCTGTGGTCACTGTAATCTCTATGGACACAGAAATGGCTACAGCCACCGTTATCTACTGTACACTCGTCTCTAACTGAAAGTGAAATCAGAGAAAACTTTTAAAGCAATAGTTATCTGAAAAAATAAAAATGAAAAAGATGATAAAATGAATTAAGAAATGACCTAAAGTCAATGCACTTAGCTGGTTGTAATGCACGAATGAATGCCAGCTCTCCTAAATGATCGGCTATGTTTCTATTTTTTTTTTTTTTTTTTTTTACTTAATATAAAAAAGTATTGCTTCAGCAAGTAAGTGATGTTTGTAGAACGTCTGAGTCAACTTCTATATATGCAAACCCAAACTTGAAAAATCCGTCTCAATCAAATCACATATTACATTTATTAATCTGAAAGAAAAAAAAAGAGACTTTATACAAGACTTACTACAGGCGCGCTTGTTACTTCCCACCACAAAGCCCTTCGGACACGAGCAGACGACAGTGAATGTAGAGTTATCCATGGAGCAGTTGTCCGAACACCCTCCGTTGTTTTCAAGACACAGATTGTGAAACTCTGAAATGGCATAATTGGTAACATTCTCTCTCTCTCTCTCTCTCTCTCTCTCATTGTGATTCACTGTACGTGTGGATAAAAACGCGCGATGATTTACATTGGATATTTATCTAAGTTTGTAAACACATTCCCATTACTATACCCTTTAAGGCTTAACTTACTGTGACATACACCCGGTCTTTTGGAACAGTCACGTACCGCACGTCCTTTGGTCCTTTCCCAGACGGAAACCCCTTGGACACGAACACACAGCTTTGAATGTAGAGTTATCCATGGAGCAGTTGTCGGAACATCTACCGTTATTGTCCAGACACAGGTTGCGATACTCTGAAATTACATAATTGGCGAACTCTCTCTCTCTCTCTCTCTCTCTCTGTGTGTGTGTGTGTGTGTGCGTGTGTGTTCGTGAGAACTTTTATTCATAGCCCCATACGCATTTAACTGAAAATGTTTCTAAGATTGTAAACGCATTTCATTATTCTTTCAATGAATTTTTATTTACGACCTAGTAAGTCGATACAACAAACAGGTTTTACAGTTCTCCCATTCTTTTGGAACAGCCACGTACCGCACGTCCTTCGATCCTTTCCAAGAGGAAAACCACTTGGACACGAACACACAGCTGTTAATGTAGTCTTATCCATAGAGCAGAAGTGGGAACATCCACCATTTTTATCAAGACACATGTTGTGATATTCTAAAATGAAAACATAACACCTTTGAGCCTCAGGTTTACTGCCCTAGCTTAATAATTCTAAATATTCAATTTGTCATTTAGCCTGCACTGCACCTTAAGACAACTTATAATAGTAAATGTATTTACTTTGTAACGCTGGTATCACGTAGGCTATATCAACGGATGCGTGTCGCACAAGATGAAAAATACATACTTTGTATGGCCTGGTTTCATTTTGCATTTTCATATATCTCTACAAATATTCAATTATCATTTAGCCTGCACCTCGACCACTTCACGTGCTAAGCAAATAGATTTTTAGCTATTTTTTCTTAAAGAATCAAATGTTCATTGATCTTGATGGTCCAGAATTGTTATTTGTAATATTTGAAGTCCAGCATTACGGCATTTATTGGAGAAATGCATGTGTGACTTCATATGACAAATAGAAATATACCTTTTAATAGATTGGACAATTTTCGTTTTATTTAGAAGATAAAAAAAGGAATGCATGTATGAACGCCGAAAGACCCCCAACAAAGCAAATTTGACGCGATAGTTACCAAAAGTAAACTTTTGTTTCACTTATGATTTTGAAATGATTGAATGTTCCTTAGCCCTTAAAATCGATAACCTTGTTACTAGTAATAATATTGGTTTATTTATAGATTTTTTGGGATTAAAGTCGCCTGGGAATTTACGTAATTACGAAATAAATACTGACAACAAGAATTAAATGCCCATTTTTTACACCTTTCGTTAAATTTAGTAAACCTATTAATGTCACGGCCTATTGGTTTTAAAGGACGACCACCCTGAAATAAACCGCCATACATTTGTCTATCATAGCACAGTGTCAAACCTAGTAAAGATTGCCGAGGAAATAAAAGTTACTTTATACAAGGAGTTCTGGAACTCCTTGCTTTAGAAGCCTCTTTTCAGAATCAGCGTCTAGTCTACAGAGGACAATGTATTCTGTGTTAAGGATTAAAAAATACCAACTGGGCGTAACTACGTACTGTTTACCCTCTAACAGTACTATGTATTGAATTTTCACTGGATATACAAGGGATGCGTATTTTCCTACTGTGTAAATTAGGTATGGAATTAGTTATTCAACCGTCCTATTGTAGTGTTAATTTTCAAATTAAATTAAAATATTTTATCAGACACTCTAAAATATTCCAGCCAGATAATGAGATTAGATTCAATGAGTTCATGATAAAAACACAAGCATCACAGTCAGGCTACGTGTACTTATGTGGTGAACAAGGCACAGACTCTATATGTGTACCCATTATATCAGGAAATTATAACCACTACTCCTCTCAGTTGACGCGTGAGGCACGTTGTTTTTCCTCGCCCTGATTTATTACAATGAAATGCACTTATCACATAGAAGTAAAGCCTCGTCAAATGTATCAGGGTTATCATTCCATTCAAAAATCTTATAAACTTTAGATGATTGCCCACTATCAGAACTAAATCTTTATTTTGGTCATTCGTGCAAAACGATCAATAAGTGTATGCGATGCATTTTGACACTTACCACCACAATAAGCCATAAAGCATCCTGGTGCATTTTGTAATAAGTACACAAAGAATCCCGCCGGGCACATCTTCACTAGGACTCGAAATGACAACCGACAACAGTCAAGTAGGTGGCTCACGCATGTCTTTCTACTGAACATGCCAACTACTTTTGCTGGGTGTTTACCGTTCAACCACATGGGCTGACGAGTTCCGCATGTGTCGTGCTTTGGGCACTGTAAATTAGGCAATAAAGAGGTATATGAAAGATACTTAAAAATATGACTGATATTTTCTCATCGGTTATTTTTATTTGCATATTTTATACTTTTATTCCATCAGTCATATTGATTCGCCTTTGATTTAATAATTTTATTAGTTCTAGCACATTTTCACAAAGACTATGACCAACAGTTACCAACAGTAATCAAATAGTAAATATTCTGCATGTTCAAGACTGAAAAATTGAGATACATGATATGGAATCTGTACATACTGGGTATGTCTTTTAACAGCATTACTAGTTTACCCTCGTCTTCTCTCCTCTCTCTCTCTCTCTCTCTCTCTCTCTCTGTAATTATACTGTATGTGTGTGTGTGTTTGGGTACTTAAGTGTGGTGTGACCAAGTTGAACGTGTAGTGAAAACCGTAATGGTATACTGTCAAGAATTTTGATATAGTCTAGAAAAGGCCAAGGCAGAATTGTCTTTCCTCAGTGTACCTCTACTGACCTTGTCTAACATTCTATTCCCAGCATTGCCTTTGAATCTGAACCACCCGGGGAAGTTAATGTCAGTCTCTCCTGCTTTATCACAATGTATTTTCCCATTTTTATCCGTGCCTTTTGTATTGTTCACGCTTCTCCAGTCCTGGTCCAGAACGCCGTGAGTCACACAGGGATCTTTGACAGATTTTTTTTAAATGTGTCAATACACGCACTAATGGTAACATAAATATATCTCTACGTCCACGACACTGGGTAACAACATTGGGACATGGGCAGCAAAATTTCAACATGGCGTCAATCTCGTGAGCACGTTTTCCGCTTAGAACATTTTGTTCACAAATTTTGGAAAATGTAACATTAAACACATAAAAAAAGAGTACACTTAACTTCGCAGAGTAGGGGAACACGCTGCAATCCTGAATCGGCGGTTAAACAGCGACGACATGAAATACTCTCTCGTGAGCATGCTTTCAGCTTATAATATACATCGTATTTTGCTTTATATTCATAAAACTTGGAAAATGTAACAGTAAACACATATAAAAGTTATCAGGGAAGAGTACACTAAACTCCACGGAGTTGGGTAAGCACCATGCGATCCCAGAATCAGCGGTTAAACAGCGATGGCATGAAAGCGTTTTTCGTGCATTACAAGCGAAAAAGTGGGAACCGGATAGATCTATCTTCTTCTTTATGTGCCATCACCGATTCGGTGTTTGACGCACGATGATATTCTGCCAAAGGGTTCTATTTCTCGCCCATGACCAAAGGTGTCTTGTTGGTAATTCAAAATTGTCAAGAAAGGATTTTCGATGTCTGATCTATAGCTAATTTAATTAGTCTCATTTAATATTCATGTGACCGGGTCATTACGTCATCAATAAAAATCTCCACTATTTGGCCGTGGCTGAATGGGGAAACGAAACTACACTCTAGCTGTGATTTCGTTGTCATGTCTGTCTGAAGGGACCGAAACAGGATTGGGTCATAACATTTGTGCTTAAACGCTCAGATGACAGGATTTCCTTACACATTGTTGTTTTATGAAAAGCAGAGCGTATATCAGGTATTTAAAAACCCAAAATTGAACGATTTGTATTGTTCACGTGTATGGTATATGATACCTTGTACTGAAGTTGAAATCGGAAACGAAAGTAATGCACAACAAACCGTTCTCTTCACGCATCATAATTTGCGACGGAGAGAAATTTTTGTATTTCTCTAGAGTGTTTGCCGTAAATGATCCCTGAGAGGGCAAAAAAACCATGATAATACTATTCTGAGAGCTTTCTTTTCCATAACGCACAGCTGTAAAACAGTCTCACATGTCTGTATCTAAGATTTAAGCGCTGTTTTAGTATTTTTTTCAGCTAAAAATTAAAAAGGTTTTAAATACACAGCGATGTTTGGAAACACACAATTGTTTGTTATATTAAAACAACCCATCCCTTTTCAAGTGAAAGCAGCCCCATTGTAATCCAACACATAGGAATTCTTTGACAGACTTTCAAAGATGATAACCCATTGTTGTTACCCAGTATCGTGGACGTGAAGATATATATTCCTATTATCTATACTGTATGGTAAGTAATTAAAACGCGTAAGTATTACGTTTTTGATGAAACTAAATGAGTGGAAAAGGGTGTCACTTTAAGGAATAGAAATCCGTAGGCAAACGTTCAAAGCCGTATTTTACCTGCAATGCACAGGTTTTATATAATGATATGATATTTGGACTAGCTGTTTGTATTATTTACCAAAGGCTCGTTGGTAAGGGTGGATATCTTCCTTCCCTTCCTAAAAAAATGAACGTTTCAACTATGTACATTATATGAATAGATGAGCAAACACAAAAACAGGCGCACGCGAACACACCGAAATCATATGCTTTGCAAAGTTTAATTTCATATCATATCAAGATTATGATAATGCTAAAAAAAAAACTAAATAGCAAAGCAGGTCATCCATTGCCTTAGAGGGGGGAATGAAGCTAGATTGACTGCATTCCCATAGATTTAGATCGATCCATCTAGATCGACCTAACTCCCTGGGGGTTCACGCTAAATTGCTGTCAGCCGAGCGCCCACGAAAGTTAATTACCTCCTTACAGCTTTTAGTAGGCGGGACGGACATTTAAGCCGGCTAAGCTGACAGTAATCTAGTGAGACTCCCCACAGGGATAGATCGATCTAAAATCTGTGGGAATAGGTTCTTGGAGGGTGGGGGATATGAAGCTAGAGTATTGAAACACATGTATGCCAAGAGCACATGCTATAGTAGGGTAGACACAAGGATTGAACAGTTCAACTCTTTTTGCTTGTAATAATGCTTTTCTTTTCGGTTGGGGGGGGGGGGGCGAGAGTTGAGGGTTACGACCAAAAATATGTGTGTGCAGGCGCGCGTGTGTGTGTGCAAATTAACACAACTTGGTCAAGGCCTTGCTTATCGCAGTGTAACAGTCTACATGTACCACTTTTCACAATACTACGGTAGATATAACAGTAAATTCTAATTTACCGAAAAATATGAAAACATTACCTCTGATAGGGAACCCTGCATAACTGCGCACAAAATACAACAGAAGCAAATCAGCCACATCCTCTTGTATCTCCAGTACTGAAAGAAATGGAGGGTTGCCTTTAAACTTAACGGCTCCTCAAGTACCACGCCCACAACCCCCAAATATGGACATGGAAACTAGCATGGGCAAGTGAATGACAGTTTATCTAAGTCATACATTCAAATGCTATTGGAAAGGGGAGCCAGGTTGAGGAGGATAAAAAATATAAGCGAACGCGGCTGCTTTAGTTACATTTATTGCACATCACTATAAACACTTTTGAATCCGATTAAGTCATGTGTAAGAGAAAGCCGATTTTTCGCCATGTCTTTTGTCTCCTATTTAATCTTGATCAGGGGCAAGGCAAAAGATACGTTTTCTTCATAAATACTGACTCATGTTGGTGCATCATTTCACAGCATAGACTTGCTTAATGAACAAGTCAGGTAAAGCTAGCAAAGTATATATTTATTAAGCCTCGGTCACAACCGGCCGTACGGGCTCTTACGGCCTGTTTGCGTCCCAATTTTGCGCAGAATCTCACGTGCAACGCAAGTCTCTCTTGCAAAATTTGGAGCTCGCAGACAGCCCGTATGCACGTACGGAGAATGTTGGACATGTCCAAAAGATTCTACGAATAATCTGCGAACAGCGAGGCCGCAAACATAGATTGCTTCACTCGCAATTGCAAGGAGTTCGCAAGTGAGACGTGCGTGGTCCAAGACGCACGTCGCAAGCAATGAAGGAGCAAGTGTCTTTTGCGTGTTCAGTACGGCGCACACCCTCACAACTAACAATCAAACTCGAAAGCACCGCGGAAGTACATCGCACGTGCGTCACACCTACGCTAGGAGAACAAAAGGTGTACTCACGACGCACGGTAGTGTCTCGAAAATTAAAGAAGATCGTGCAACTTGTGCAACAATTTTCAAAAATTTCGAATTTTGTTTAATTCAGCTTCTAATATGTCTCCAAAAGACAAGAAAAAAACCTTAGATAGCAGGAGAGAAGGAAGAAGGAAGAAGGGGAGAACAGTAGACAAAACCGGCGTACGCGGTTAGTACGTCATCACAAGTGTGTGAGGCAAGTGTGAAGCAAAATGGAAACTACTTTCGCCGTGCGTTGCTTTCTCTTCAATAGTGGTGAGTGCGTAGCAAGACAAGCTCAAGAAATGAGTACAATTTCCTCAGCCCCTGCACCTTGCAATTAGTGTTCCTGCTTGAAAGGACATCTCATTTGGCCCTTGCAACTCGCAAGGCAGACTTTCGTATACCTCTACGACCTCCACGGATTCTACTGCACGCAAAATTCGCAGGGGACGTACGATCCTAAAATCCGTTCGTTCGGTTGTGACCGTGGCTTTAGCACAGCACAAAAACAAATCTTTCCGATTTTTCAGCCTCCGCGGAATGATGTCGGCACAGTGCAAGCTGGCCTTTACAACGCGTGACTAAATAACGTTTTTCCGCGCAGGAGTACCCCTTTCTCTTTTACACGGCCTTTCAACAGGCGTAATCTCGTTCGTCTTTCTTCGCGACTGAACAACGTTTTTCCACAGGGGTCCTGCCCTGCTAAATATTATGTGACGGCCGTTATGCATAATCCTCCAGTTGGGCCTTGGATTGTGACTGACATTTAAAAACATGAGATTTCAATGGAACTGAAAGATTTATATTGTTAATTCCCTTGAAAATTTCATTTTATTATCCTATGTCGGAAGGCGTGATCATCCCGATCGCATAACAGGATACCGTGAACTGTCAACATCGTTAACTTCACTCCATCACATTTACACCTGGACTTATTCGTCCTTGTGCTAGCTGACCTTGTGAGGAAATTTATTGGAATGTAATTCTGAATAACAAGTTAAGAAAATTCACTAGTTCACTAAAGACACAAAACAACTGTCACTTTTACTTTAAAACCATTTTGTTATTATTATTTTGATGAATTTAGTTGCAGTATTGATAAACAAAGTATCACGTTTTCAATAATTAATATTTTAAATTACAATATATAACTGCGAGGTTGTGTCATTGACCAAAATACAACGTTGAGTCAACGTCACATTATGACGGTGTTTCGACGTGGCTGGATCAACGTTGATTTAACGTTGAAGTTAGGTAGATCAACGGCAATTCAACGTATCAACTTGTTTTCAACGTTGATCCAACACAACTATGCCTGCTGGGATTGGAAAGGGGAGCCAGGTTGAGAAGGATTATTGCACATCACTATAAACACTGTTGAATCCGATTAAGTCATTTTTACTTTTACTTTAAAACACCGTTTTTCATATTTTGATAAAGTTCGTTACAGTATTGTTGTCTATTTAATCTTTTCAGGAATTAATGAACAATAGGTGGATTATGCAGCACTGTTATTGATGTTAATAGGCTAGAACTAATTAATTATTACCCATGGCAACATACCCGGTATACCTTGCAGCTGCCGTAAATTCATTTTGATACATTATGTTATACATATGCTTTTATATAAACATAGTATCACGTTTTTTTATAATTTTAATTAAAATATTTTAAATTACGATCCATGTCTTGGATCACGACCAAACAACGTTGAGTCAACGACCAAAATATCACGTTGATTCAACGTCACAATATGACGGCGTTTTGATGTGGCTGGATCAACATTGATTTGACGTTGAATTTAGGTAGATCAACGACCCAACCTGTTTTCAACGTTGATCCAATGTCACTGTGCCTGCCCCCTGGTGTGTCTCATTAAATTGCTGTCCACTTGGCGGCATAAATGTCTATCACGACTAGTAAAGCTGTTAGGGGTAATTATCTTTACCCTAGCCGATTCGGTAGGCGTGACAGACATTTAAGCCTCTTGAGCTGACAGCAATTTAGCGTGAACCCCCGGGGAGATAGGTCAATACAGATGGATCGATCTAAATATGTGGGAATGCAGTCTAACATCTAATCTTACTTCTACTATCTAAAATATCTTGTAAGTCAAGTATATACAAATATATACTTTACTTTCCATAGTTCAGATGAATATCCTTGTCCTATGACAATAATTATACTCATATTATTAATACAAAGTGAACATTACCGTCACATATCTTAACTTGGAATAATACCTACTTCAAATAGACAGTAACTGCCTCGGCTTGGTTGCAATTCATACAAAAGCAGCAGTGGAGAGAGAGAGAGAAACAAATCTGATCCGACTGCGCTGGAGTACCAGATGGCGACCTTCATCTTGCCAATCCTTTTGTGGCTGCCATGCTCATTAAATACTCAGAACTCTGACATAGTATTTGTTACTTATGCGGCACTTTTGTGTGAATCTGAATCCTGTCAGGCTCCATTTTTTCAATTGTTCCATTTGAGTTGATCTGAATTCGTTAAATTGAGAAAGAAAGACAGAGAGATAGAGAGAGGGTAAAAAAAGGTCTAACATTTTCAAAATTAGTCCAATAGTCACCTGTCCCACGGCTTATTCCCAATGACACTATAAATGAAAATGGCATTGGTGGATGGGCCAAGCACTACAGATCTATCCAAAACTGAACAAGACCAAAACATTGTACAAACAAAGTAAATTGTTTCTTAACAGTTTAAACACTTTTTT